GTACAAAATAAATTGGATAAATTTATTATTGTATCCGTCTTCAACTTCGGATTGTATATATTATCGTAAAATGACCACGCGCCCAGAAAAAACGCCAACGTAAATCATAATTCTAATGTATTTGATTAGCCAGTCAAACAAAATCAAATACGGTATTTTATTAGTGGAATAACGAACAATAGAACCAAAATACCCAAACCTTACTTAAAAAGATGATACCACAAAAGTCCGTTACACAGGAAAAATGCAAGCAAACGTAAATTATATATTTAAACGGCAACAACGAATTATTGAAAGCGGCAAAAACACACTTAAATATAACTAAAATAAAGACACGCATGCATGCTTAAACTATCAAAGGATAGTATACACCAAAATACCAACGATCAGGCAAGTACTACTTCTTCTCGTTGTCAGAAACATCTATTTCAATACCCAAGACCGACTGTTCGCACTTATGAATGTCGTAACAGATTTTCTTAAGGTTGCTACGGGAGAGCAAATTCCTTATGTAAGAGTCCTCTTCTGCACGTCGGTTCCCGTTCGATACATAATCTCGGATTTTAGCGGTGCTACTGCTGGCCATCAAATGCAAAGGCTTTTGATCAGGTATCAAAGGAGCGAAGTGTGATTCCATCAAATTTTGTGTACCTCCATGCTCTGTATCAACAACCTCTAGTGCAATATATAACCTTTTTAGAATCATCATACGGTGCACCAGCCAACGCAGAATCAACAGTGAAGTAGCCGATTTCACTGGACCCTAAGCAAAACCAGCTATTCATAACAATGTTTTTACAAAACTAGGCTGTTATGTTTTAGCCACGAAGACAGATAATTGTATATAATATAGGGGATAGTGGAGCGAGGTAAAATACATGCGGAACACATCTCTTATATATACGTCATAAGATTTTCAGCATTAAATATGAACTATTCACATTGCCACTTGGACAACGAATTGTGTAATTTGATATTGAAGTTTTCTTTTTTTGAAAATGGTGACATCATTTGGGATTGAAGTTCTCATATATAGGAATAAGTACTAACTGTATACGCAACAACTGCTATAGTTACATATTGAATATTTTATTGTACGACACCGACTATTCACATTGCCACTTGGACTACGATTTGGGCAATTTGGTATTGAAGTTTTTTTTTTTTTTTTTTAAAATGGTGACATTATTTGGGATTGAAGTTTTCATATATAGGAAGTAAGTATTGACCGTATGCCCAACAACTGCTATAGTTACATATTGGATATTTTATTGTCTGACATCGAATCAACGACATTAAACAAAACACGTCTCCAAATACACAAAGTACTATATTTCCCGACAAGCCATGAATTTACCTATGAAAGGCTTACCGTCAATAGTGAAGCGAGCTGTATTTTTTTTACATACATTTTCAAATTAGTATACATACGCTTAAGTAATACCAAGGGTTCATTGGGATACCCAGTAAATTAAGAACCACTTTGCTAAATCCAAATTGCATATTACGACCACATTGTTTTGGCAAGTAAGGTAATGATACCTGACGTGAATGTATCGTTTAAACTCAACATATTGGTTCGTGTTAAACAATTGTTACCATTGGTACACGTATATCGTCAATTCGATCGTAATTCAGTAAGTTTAGATAGATAAATACGCAAAATGTTCCATATAATCAAGTCCAACATGTGCCTCTTGGATACACCGATTATAATGTTTAGATAACTTATTCTTATAATAGTTATACTTTTTTATTGAAGCATTAGACAGCCAAGATAAAAACAAACGCAACTTTCATTACGACACGCAAAGATCCGAACTAAGAGCCATGCTAGTCAATGTTGAATCCTTCTTCAGTGTTGTCATCCTCCGACTCCGAGAACTGTGACCACTGGGAGGTTGAGTCCCCGAAATCTTCACCTTCATATTGGTCGTCCACAGCAAGGGGTTGTTGAGAAATTGTTGAGAGGAAACTTTGGATTATTGTTATTTTCAAGAATGCATGCTAGTATTTGTCCTTCTGTAAAAGCCAAGCGAATTTCTCCAGGGACAACTCGGTTTCGTTCTCGAGCAGGGATTACATGAATCCCATCCATCATATATAAGCGGTTGACCTTAAGCTTAATACTCATTTCTTCAATATTATCTTTTTCAGCAAATTTCAAGCAAACATTCCTGCAAAACACTAATTAAACAGTTGAAACATACAAGTATGAAATGTCTGTAGACAATAAAGATCTGGTACAAACCTCTTTATCAATCCACAACATACGTATTGTTCGTTTGAGGCATGTAGGATCTCCACTATGCTCAATCCATATTTTGAGAAGTCGAGCTATGATAACATCAGTATAGATGCCAATACGAAGCCCCCGAAACCCCATGAATGTACACATCAGATCTATATAAAACATCACAGCAACAATATCTAGAATATGCATCCTTATGTTTAGCAGCTTCACAGCTCCAGGAACAACCTCAATCTACCCAACCAACCACGTCATGACTTAAAAAGCAATACTACAGCCCCTGCTAAACCACATGAAATGGTTAGGGAGAATATCAATGATGCAGTTGAGGAATTTCATATGCAACTCTAGAAAGAACAAATAGAAGAAAAAAAATATGAATAAAAGAGCAGCTACCGATTCGAGAAAAAATATGAATAAAAGAGCACATACCGATTCGAGTAAGAAAGAAAATTGTGAGAATCCTCTTCAAAGCTAAGAACGTTTTATAGGAATGAAAATGGACAGCTATTTGGTGGTACAAGCACATGCAATGGTATTAAACCTATCCAATAATACATGTACTGCACATCAACAGTATGCACCAACCATAGGGACCCGAGCATAGTATATGTCTCTTTCGCATTGAGTACAAGAAGATAAAACAAAAAAGAGCTCACCTAGACGACATCAAAAGCCTCCAATAATGCATGTACGGGAAAACAATAATGCACAACGACTATAGGGACCCAAGCATAGTGTACATCCCTTTCATATTGAATACAAGAAGACAAAATAGAGAAGAACGACTCAAGCATAGCGTACGTCCTTTTCATATCAAATACATGCATGTACGAGAAAACAACAGCACACACCGACTATAGGGACCTAAGCATAGTTTACGTCACTTTCATATTGAATACAAGAAAAAAAATTAAATAAATAAGAACGAACCAAGCATAGTGTAATAGAGAAGAACTTACCAAGTCTCGTCCGTAGGGGAGGATCTCCTCCTTGGCTACAGTTCGCTTCCTTTCAAAATTATATATTACAATTATTGTATTTTGAGAATTTCTTTTAAGAACTAATATGTTTTGGGGAAAAACCTAACCTCCTCAGTTGCTCGTCCCTAAAAAAATCCCAACCTCATTCTGGATAATTCTCAAAAGATAATCAATCATTAAAAAAATAGGGAACCCTTTAGTTTCACCTATTTTGTTATAGTTTAATTATTGGGAAATTTATGTGATTATTGAAAAGCAAAGGTTAAAATCTCGAACATCCTAGTTTAAATTTACCCTCTAATTATCAAATTTAGTAATTGTTGAATTGTTTTAGTACGAAGATACAAAGTAGAATTACAACTAATTACTTGTGCATGTTCATTCATAAAACTAATATAATAATCATTAGATAAATTTCATAACTTGCATCAAAAAAGTTCTAGAAATACCTAAAATTACGTGCAAAATATATATTATTTTCTGTAAATTCACACATTTTAATTTTTTACACAAACTAGATGACCAAAATGAAAATTATGAAGTTTGTTACATGTTATACCATAGATGAGCTTTAAAAAGATTCTGAAAATTGTTGCTACTAAGTACTAACTTCTAATCATATTTTTATTTTTTTTATCAAACTTCTAATCATATTTTTTTCTGAATCATGATAACTTAAGCTGAAGTAGAAGCAAATGAATCAGAATATGGGTCGAGTTAAACAAGGAGATTGGATCCAAGTAGAAATCATGAATGGAACCCTCAGTTGCTCATCCACCTACAAAAATCCCCATAATTTTGGATAATACCCAAAAGACACCAATATTGAAAAGGAAAACTGAACCCTTCAGTTTCCCCTGTACCCAAGACACTGCAAAATGCCACAATTTGTCAATTGCTTAGTAGGAAAAAGAAGAAGAATGTGGCCGCCATGTAAACACCATCCATCTCCTGAAAGATCCTCATGAGAATCCATGGCGGCAATGATTTTTCTCCTACTTAGTAGCCTTCACGTCCACCACCAACCCATTAAACATATCTTCTGTATAAATACACCACAAATGCAGGCTCTCATCCCATCAAACCCAAAACACATTTCCAATCTTCTGCAGAACTAAAAATGGCAGCCAACAACAGAATTCTCATCACCATCTGCTCATTCCTTCTGCTCTTCATCCTTCCATCAATGGCTGCCGAACCACAATACCACCGCGCCCCTGCAACCCCGCAGAAGAAGTCCGACGTCGTGGTCGAAGGAGTCGTCTACTGCCAGAGCTGCAAGTATGCCGGCTCGTGGTCTCTGACAGGAGCCAAGCCTATCCCATCAGCTAGAGTTAGCGTCACTTGCAAGGATTCCCGCCACCATGTGACCTTTTATAAGACCTATCAGGCTGACAAACACGGATACTTCTACGCACAGCTCGACGGGTTCAAGTTGAGCCATGGGATTTTGGATCATCCACTCCAAGCCTGCACTGTGAAGCTTGTCTCCTCTCCACTCGCGACCTGCAATGTGAGCACCAATCTTAACTATGGCATAGATGGAGCCAAGCTTCGGTCTGAGGGTAAGGTGTTGAGGTCTCTTCACTACGAGGCTGTGATCTATGCAGCTGGTCCCTTAGCTTTCCGCCCTGAAACGTGCTCGAACCATCATGGTTAAAAATTGATGTGGGTTGTCTTTCTGGTTTATATTCTTGTTGGAGCATAAGATCTTCCTTGTGTTGAGTTCTCGATGTTAATCGAGATAATTTATCAGCAATTTGTACCCGCATTCGAATGAGTTGAATCTTTTTAGCAGGGTGTTTAGTCTCTCTTGTCTTTCTGACCTCCTTACATTATTCCCTATAACCCATTAATAGCCTGCAAAGTCAATAGCATCCAGTGGCATCCCAAACAGGCAAACAGCAGAGTGTTAATCTTCATAAACTTGAGACTTCAAGGCTTCTACAAGAAGCAGTAGTACAAAGGGCAAATGTTACCATCTCGAGAAAATGAAATTAGTTTCAACAAGGAGAAGAAGCCAGTTTCCCTGCTAAGGGCTAAAAGTCCAGTGGCATCCCAAACAACTTGTTAATGTCATCCATTGCCTGTTTAGTGCATACAGTCGGCTCAAACAGGTCTGATCCCCTTGTGTCAGATGATGCTGGTTTTTTGCTCTGTTGAGGATGATTAGCATCGGCATCATCCGGCAATATCGAGAACCCACCAACTTCTTCTTGCCTCTTCTTGCCTTTATGATTTTGTTTATGATCAGCAACATCATCATCATCAGGCAGAATAAAGAACCCACCACCAAGTTGTTCTTCTTGTTTCTTCATTGGCTGGTTTTGTCTTCCATCAGATTCATCATCATCAGGCAGTATAAAAAACCCACCACCACCAAGTTGTTGTTCTTCTTCTTCTTCATGTGGTTGCTGCGCTGGCTGCCTTGTTCTCCTGGCCCTTACAAAGTCTATGGGCTTCCCAAACATGTTGTTGATGTCTTCCATGGCTTCCTTCAAGTTCACTGTGGGATCAACCAACCCATGGTGACAAACATTCTCCACTTCCGGTTCATTCAAAATGGTGGACCCAACAAACCGACGGACCACTGTATCCTCCCTCATAAGTTTGTTTCTTGGGGATCTCGAGCACCCATCTTCAGATGCTGAAAGATCCTGCGGACATGTGAACACGAAAGGGGAGTCTTCTTCTTCCTCGTCTTCTTCTTCGCAGCATTCAGCCACTTGTTGCTCTTCATCGTCAATCAATATATGAAGAGGCTCTTTCTTTTCTGGTTTGCTCAATAGCTTGGTTCCACCAACGGCCTCGTTTGAATCCACATAGACTTCAAACCCACCATTCCGGCTGCTGTTTCCATTTGATCCATGGCGGTTAGATTCCTCCAAAGGCTTCTTCACATTTCCAGATCTTCCATCTGGAATCTGTTTCCCTTCGGCTTTAGTGGTGCATACATTCTCATTGTTCTCATCAGTCCTCACAGCAGCTGACATAGGTCTTTTATCAGCTCTTAAGGTGTTCTGCAGCAGATCTCCCATTGCGAGTTAGCAACAACCATGGACAGCAAAACAAGCTACATATAGAGAATCAAATGGAGAAAAACTACAGGGCTACCTGGGATTTCTTGGTCTTGTGTCTTTGCATACGATGGAGGAACTGTTCATACGATCTTTGCAACTCATTCACAGGCTCAGCAAGGCTGGTTTTAACATCACCATTTCCCCAAACCCTAATTAGAGCCATGTGATTATTTGATTAAAAAGGTTAAAGAGAAGAGGGAAGGAGGGACTTACTTCTGCACACCCAAATGGTACATCTTCTCCGCCTCCTCATATTTCTTCATCTTTTCATAGCACAAAGCATATGCCTGGTAAAACAATGACCTCTTCATCCCTATCTGATTCTTCTCCATGGTTCTCAATAGCAATCTTGGCTCATCCACATAATCCATCTTCTCTCAATTCCAAAAAAAAGATTCACCACCAAAACTAAATCAAATGGCCACATTGTAATGGTAACTTCAGTAGAAGAGTGAATAAGAACTAAAAATCGAACTAGTCACAGAAATCAGCTAGCTTGGCCTTCTCCATTGAAGAAGCAAGAAGGAATGAGAGAGGGGGAGGAGTTGCGTTACCAGCTGCAACCAAACGCGAAGATAGCGAGGATCGTTCTTGTAGCGCTTATCGGACTCGAATTTCTGAGCGCATTTCTGCAAGAGGCGAGGAAGCTTCGCTTTAAGCAGAGTTGGAGGCAGAGATTCCCTCAGTTTCTTGACTCCCCTGCAAACATGGAGAGAGAGAATGTTGGCGAGGCAGATAGGGATTGGGAAGTGAAGAGGAAGTGTTGGGAAGAGTACCGGAGCCAGGGGAGAAGAGGATCATTGCCGGAGTAGGATTTGATGTCCGAGGCGACGGTTGAGAAGATAGCATCGGCAGTGGCGGCCATTGTTCCACAGCGACGGTGAGTGGAAGGAGTGATGGTCGAAGGTATCCGGCGATGGAAATGGAGCCGGAGGGAGGGACATCGATTTTGAATTTGGGAATTTGGCACCTTTTTTGTTTTAATTGGAAAATGGAAAATGAATTGGGCCGTTGGTGAGATCTGGACCTGAGCTCTGGCTAAATATTCACTATTGGGCCAATTAGGGATTTCGTTCCACAGAGCTGAGGCCTGAGCTCTGGTTAGATATACGGTGCTATTCTTTTTGGCTAAATACAATATATTACCCATAACTATTAACCAACGGGAACTATAGCCAGAAATATCGAAATACAAATTATTAGCCATAACTATTGTTGCAGGTCAAGAATTGACTAACAACTCGTTACTGTTTTCGAATTTTTAACAGAGAAGGCTATGTCAGCATCATAAAAAATATGATATGATGACTGCCACGTGGGAGCTAGCTCAATATCGTAAAAATTTAGTCAGCATTAATAACGAAAGTGTTAATGGAAACTTAATAGTTGGCTAATAATTTGTATTTCAATAGTTGTGGCTATAATTCCCCGCTACTTAATAGTTATGGCTAATATATAATATTTACCCATGGTACTAAAATACACGGGTTTTTGTAAAGATTGTTTTTTAGCTCCGACTTTTCCGAAGTGAAACCCAGCATTCCCGCACCCTAGCGGCTATGCCGCCGATGAACGAAGCTCTATCGGGGGCCTCTCCCCCGACACCCCAACCATCGGACCCTTCAGTTGGACAGCACCAACCACCGTCGGCATCTTCTTCATCAAACGGAAAGGGAGATCGAGAGACGCAGCACACACAAAAAAAAATGCTCGGCCGATGTGTTCAAACCCACTTTTCGACGCGGATGAGACAATAGAGGACTCCACGATGCCGGAGATCGAGACTACAGCGGAGGAGACTGCTCTTGGCTCAGGCAGCCACGAACTCGCAGACGGAGATCCCTTCCCCGGCATGGGGAACTGGGACAGGTGCCAAAAAGCTATTCTCTGACATTCTTGGAGAAGAGGCATGGTATACCGCGGAATCGAACTCAATGGATATTGTTGCAGCCATGAAAGAAGACGATCTTGACGATGTGGTACCGGAAGACGATGATCCCCGGTGCCCCACGATTCCGTTCACGTCTATGGAGAAGCAGTGATATCGTCGTAAATGGCGTTCCGCGCTTATTGTTAAGGTACTAAGACATACCTTCCCCTTCCCTGTGATCTCTAGGAGGCTGGAAACGTCACAGGCAAAGGACGGGTATCTTCAGATTTCAAGTCTCTCTTACGGGTAATACGTGGTGAGATTCACCCATTAGATGGACTTTGAGCAAGCAAGGCTAGGAGGACCATGGCTGATCGGCGAACACTACATTACTGTGCGCCACTGGCGAAAGAACTTTAACCCGCACAGTGCTGAGGTTGTTTCAAAACTAGTTTGGGCGAGGCTTCCAGAGCTACCCGTAGAGTTTGTGAACCGCGAGGCCGTCGAACGCATTGCCTCACGGATTGGGATGCCAGTGAAGGTGGATAGAGCGACTATGACACGTGACAGGGTAAATTCAGGAGAGTGTGCGTGGAGATTGATCTCACCAAGCCGCTGCTCTCTCAGTATAAAATCGAAGATAAAACCTACTACATCATGTTTGAAGAGCTGCATAACATATGCACATAACGCGAAAAATATGGGCATTCGGTTAAATAATACCCGATGCTACGAAAGAAGAACCCAACACCACCACCTCAGGCGATCGTTCCTACCGAGACTCAAGGAAAAATAGCTCTATACGGCGAATGGATGATGGTGAAATCCAGGAACGAAAAGAAACAAGGTCCAAAGACCCAAGCAACAACAGTTGTTGGGCATAACTCAAAAGTGGATGGGTCTCGTTTCTCGGTGCTTGAGCAGGAGGAATCTCCCGTAGTCATGGAGAGTGATGTTTCTACTAGAGAGAATGATCTGGCCAATGAAAGTATAAAGGCCAAGGAAGCTACAGAACAGATTTTGACGCCACGTTGACAAAGTGGATAAAAGTGTCTGCTTGTTGCCCGAACGGAGACTAAGCTGACAGGAGCGAGGAAGGATGCTAGTGGGGTGATCACCCCTCCGCTGTCCATCAGCGAACCAGCCTCCCAAATCAAGGCTTCAAAGAAGCACCCAAAACAACCGCAACTCATGAGTATGACAAAACCACAAGGATCTAGTAGCGCTCGACAAGAGCTGGTCGATGTCTCGATAGCGCAAGCTGACGGGAAATGAGGTCTTGAAGCTAAAACTGATAATTTCAGAATCAAGCAGGCTAAGGAACCAGGTAAGAGAGGTTATACAACTGGGAATCCGGGAAACAATGCCACCACCCAACCGAAAGGGGTGAAAAAAGGAGACGAGGCGAGGCAGGCCAGGGACCAGGGCAAGCCACCCGGTCGGACCTGCGAGAACTTGTGTTGTTATCGAGGGGGGGGGGTAAACTCTCTGATAGCTTGATGCACTAGCCTTCCCCGTCGCTGCAGTAAGGGAAGTTGTTTTCCTTCATCTCTTTTTTGAGCGTTTGTGATTTGGGTGTGGTTTATTTTGTTTATCTTTATAATGTTAAACATTTTAGCTTAGAACTCTCAGGGGGCAGGAGATGAGAGCTTCCTAACGTATTTTCGTGCTTTCAGTGAGGCCACAAAGCCGGACATCGTAATTATTGTTGAACCGCGAATCAGCGGGGAGAGAGCTCGCATAGTGATCCGACGGACGGGTTATGACGGATGTCTTATCATGGATGCTATTGGTTTTTCAGGTGGCATATGAGTACTTTGGAGTCGACAGGAGTTAATCGTACATGTCACATACTCTAAGCGATCAACGCAAAATGCAGTGGTGGCTATATCAGCTGTTTATGGGAGCCCCAACGCGGCTAACCGAAAGAGCTCAGTGATGAAAGCTGTGTAGTCCCGTGGACTTTTCAATTCCATCTTGGGCCCACTGGACAGATGTGGTGGGACGGCCTACCATGCTGCACGATGTCGGCCGTTCCTGAATTGTGTGGACGTCAGCGGACTGATATATGTTGAGTTTACGGGTCCCGGGTTCACTTGGCAGCGTGGGACTCTTAAGTAGAGCCTTGATCGAGCACTTTGTAACGAGTTCTAGCTCACCTGGTATCCACGCACACTCACTCGCCATCTAAAGAGAATTGGCACAGATCACAAGCCGATCGTACTGATGGGAGAGGGTGGAAGAGACTCTAGACCAGGTTCGAGGCCTTTTCGGTTACTGGCAGCATGGCTCGGGCACGAGGATTTTGAGCGTGTGTTGTCTGAGGGATGGACAAGGGGGACTAGTTTCCCCCAGTCGACTTGCTCACTGACAAAGGAACTTTAACACTGGAACTAGACTGTTTTTGGGCATATCCAGAGACGAAAGTGAAGGTTGGCAAAAAACCTCTTAGTTGTGGAACGGGAAAACGAGAGGGGAGCCAATCAGGAATCCCTGGCACGAGAGCACAAGATGCGGCAGGATCTAGGGGAAACACTGTGTTAGGAGAATCTACTATGGCTACAAAAATCGCGGGCTCAGTGGATCGTGGAGGGAGATAGAAACACCAGATTCTATCATCTCTCTACACTAAAGAGGAGATGCTTTAACAGGATACGTGGGCTGAAAAATAGTGAGGGGGTGTGGGTACACGAAGAAAATCTTCTTCAGAGGATTGTGAGAGAGTTCTATGTAGACTTGTACAAAGTCGAAATGGGGCCATATCTACCATTTTCGATGCGCTTCCAGACTGTAAACCCCTCGCAATGGGGTTGTCTCAAGTGTGAAGCGGATTGAGAGGAAGTATGGGATGTAGTGAGAAGCATGGGGGGACTCAAAGCCCCGGGAAAAGATGGCTATCCTCCGTTATATTATCAGAAATGTTGGAAGGTGGTTGCTGATTCTTTCTCGAGCTTCGTGGGGGTCATGTTTTGAAACCCAGCCGGATTATTGAAGTGAACGAAACTCTTCTTGTGCTCATACCCAAGAAGGAGAGTCCTGAGCTGACCAGCCAGTTTCGGCCGATTGAGTTGTGTAAGTGGTATACAAGACCCTAGTTAAGTGTCTGGTGCACAGGATTAAGCCGGTGATGCGCAGCTTGATCCACCCTACTTAGTCCAGCTTTGTCCTGGGATGTCACATCAATGATGACATCATCATTCTTCAGGAAGCGGTTCACTCAATGAAGCTGAAGACGGGGAAGAAAGGAGCCATGGTCTGGAAGATCGATCTGGCTAAAGTCTACGATCGTGTGAACTGGCTGTTCTTACAGGAAACACTACAGGGGGCAGGTTTTCCGGCGCATCTTATCAGCGTTATTATGGCATGCGTCTCCTCATCATCGATGCAGGTCCTCTGGAATGGTAGCTGTACGGAGAGTTTCCACCGGACCAGGGGGTTGAGACAAGGCTGTTCCTTGTCACCGTATCTTTTTACCCTCTGCATGGAGCGTCTTAGCCACACCATCATGAATGCAGTAGAGAGTGGAAAGTGAAAGCCGTTGATCATAGCCCCGGGTGCGCCTCCCCTTTCCCATCTTTTTTTCGCTGATGATCTGATTCTATTTGCAGAAGCAAGTACAACGCAGAGCCAGGTCATTATGGATTGTTTGGATCGCTTTTGCATGGCCTCCGGGGAATAAGTGAGCAAGGAGAAATTAGTTATATTCTTCTCGAAAAATGTCTCGAAGCAGGTGAGCAGCGCTATCTCTAGAGCGGCTGGCATCGCAACCACCCAGGATGTGGGACGCTATCTCGGTGTGCCGCTGTTGCATGGCCGGGTCACCAAGGAGACGTACATGTATATTCTTAATCGCGTGGACAATAACTTTTCTGGATGGAAAGCGGAAAACTTGTCCTTTGCAGGTCGAGTAACCTTGGCGGCTTCAGTTCTCAATATCTTGCCAACATACGCCATGAAATCTACATTGCTACCGATTTCCATATGCGACGAGATAGATAGGAGGATACGAAGTTTCATTTGGGGATCCTCGAGGACGCAGATTAAGATGCATCTCGTGCATTGGGAGGCAGTCTGCAGACAAAAAAAAGAAGGGGGCCTAGGGCTTCGAAAGGCACACGAGCTCAACTTAGCATTTCTTACCAAGCTTGCTTGGTTGTTTATCAAGAGACCAGACGAGTTGTGGGTGCAGGTACTCCATGCCATGATAACCACCTAAAGAGGAGGTTTGGTGCAAAGTTGCTCAGCAATGATTCAATCAAAGATTGAATCCAACTTATGGAAATTAGGAACGCAAACGGGGGTTTGAGTTCGTGTTTGGGATGGTGACTTTCGTGCAACTTTCTCTAGGGATTGAGGCTCGGAGACTTAGGTAGAGACTTGGCCACGAACATGGTGAATACCTGGACGATACAAGCTCAAGATCGAGCCTAGAGAACCCTAGGACGATCTCCAATTTCCACAGGCAAAGGCTATGGCGATAAACTCTAGGTCTAAATAGGCTAACTAAACTTACAACCAAGTAATTAACATCCTAAACAAGTTACAACTCAAAAAGGAAAATAAATCCCACTGCAAAAGGGTAATTAAATCGAACTGATCACTAATCCTAATCCGAATAGGATTCGGATTTCAGTGGCACAATCAACTGGCTCAAGACGATCTTGAGGCTTCTCGTTCGAGCACTTCCAGTGGTCCAACTCTTCAACCAATTCCATGTTGTTGTAGAAGAAGTCGTATATTTCATGGATGCCAACCCTCGAGTCTCGACTCTCCTTCCATCGTCCCAACTAAAGCTCCAAAGATGCCTCCTCGAACTTGCTCCAACATTTAGAATATTCTGGCAGTTCTTCCCGTGTTCAGCCATCAACTTGGTTGACCTGGAAATCACTCTTCTGGGCCTCCTCTTGAACTCCAAATCACATCAATGGCAAGATAAACCCTTCCTCTTCAAAACAAGACCTTAAACTTGAATTTTTATTAAACCGATAAAAAGTTCTCGATGTGCAAACATGGTACCTTGAAGCTGGAAAAGGACTTAACCAAATTTCAGGGTTCTTTCCCATACTTGAGTTTCCTTCTTCGACATTCAACCCTGACCTGTGTACTGACTCAATTGAGATCATACCAGGCCCCCTCTCTTGAAAAAGTGTTGCCCTCAACACTTGGATCCTCCACTGCTCAAACCTCTCACAAAATTGTTCCCAGACAGGATCTAAAAAGGGCTGCGCGAACTGCCAGTTCTGAGAAATGGCTACACTGTTCATCATGCTCGAAATTGGGGCTTTTGATTCCAAGGATCTACATAACAATTCAGGGACTCCATTAGGATTTTCTGATGGCGAATCGAAGTTTTGGAGGGGTCTCGTGCCTCGAGTCGTCGAATTCGTCATCGCATCGTCCCGCTTTTGTTTCCCGCCATCGCCAAAGTTCAAAACTCCAAGCTTGAGCTCGCTCAAATTCGATTTGGGCATTTTCAATTTAAGGATCTGCAAATCAAATTGATTGATCTGAGAGTTTCCTGGGACCAGGCTTGAATGATCTGTATCACCCTTTTTGTCGAATCACCGTCAATCGTTCCACCCAATAAGCTCGAATTTTCTTCGAGTTTATCAGTTTTCAGAGCAAGTTCTGCTCGAATGGGATTCGACAATGGAGAGTTGGTCAATCCAATCCAACTCAGGGAAGAGCTTCCCAGGGATGGTGAGAGTGGGCCGGTGTCGTTGGTTGAACTCGAATCGCCTCCCACTGCTCCACCCAATTGACTCTCTCTCCTGCCCTGCTCAGGTGACATCTTCGGCGGCCGTCATTGACGAGGCTTGTGGATCTTCTTGAATCTCGTCAACATAAATTGGCGAGTTAAGAGAGTCAAGTCACCGGGGCCTTCGTCGCGGTCTTGGATGGATTTTCCTTTGGATCGCCGCCGATTCGCCTCCATTTGTCGGCGATCTTATCGGACTTCCTCAAGGGGCAGAGGCTTCAACATAATCTGCTTCCCCTTGTGACGAACCTTGTAGCAGTTCGTCCTACCATAGTGACACACGCCATGATCGAGCTGCCACGGTCTCCCGAGCTCGTCGTGGTAAGCTCCGATCTCAAACTTTCACTTTGGCTTGGCTTGACACGCGCACTGCCCCATAATCATTGAGCCAATGTAGATTGTAAGGCTCTGGATGCTTTGTGTTTTCAGCCCGAGCTTATCTACTGCATCTTGTCTGATGACGTTGCACAACTGCCTCCATCAACAATCACGGACAATACCAATGTAGTCAAACTATAGCTTTTAGGTATAAGCGAAATGATGGGTAGAAGCGTAAGCGTAAAAGCGAAGCGTAAAAGCGTAAGTTTATAAGGATCATCTAAAAGTATCATAAATCTCCTTACTGCAACCTGTGTTCTGTATAATATAAACACCATACACTTAATAATTTCTCTTATTTAAAATATCATAGATCATGAACATAAGCAAATTTGAAAAACTCTTAAACTAATATAAGATGCAACTCATAAAAAGTTCATAAACATAGAAAAAGAGTTGATAGTACAAACTAGCATGTGTCTTAACTCATAAACAATCTTAAATATCCAAATTCTCAAAATGAAAGCATACTAAGGCCCTGTTCACTTCCATTTTCGTTTCCTGTTTTCTGTTTTCATGTTACAAATTTGGCAAACGAAACGAGAAAACATGTTTACTTTTCATTCTGTTTTCTATTCGTTTCCAACTCTGAAAACAGAAAGTGGCAGCTTCCTACTGTTTTCGAAAACGAAAAAATGTCGTTTTCACCTGTTTTCAACATCTGTTTTCTCAAAAACAGGAAACAGAAATGAAAGTAAACAGGGAAGGTTCTCAAAAATGAAAATAAGACTACATCAGAGCATCAACATCAACATTTGAATCCAAGTCATCATCATCATCGCCACCATTATCATCACCACCATCACTGTACCCATGGCCTCCATCATCCCTTGTGCCATCGCCTCCATCATCATCCATGGGAAGAGGACTAACATGATCACTGTTCTCATCGCCAACTTCTAATTGATCATCCTGTGGTTCATCAGTTTCACTACCACAAACCCATTCATTATCAGAGTCCATATCTTCAAAGGCAACTTCAAGTTTCCTTGCCTGCTTGAGATTTCCCAACAACTTTGTATTGGTCATGACATACACTAGATCATTCATCTTTTCTGCAAGCAGTTTGTTCCTTTTCTGCAAGCAGTTTGGTCCCTGTGGAGGACTAGAAATGACCGTGTTTTCGCAAACAAGGTCATTACAGTTAAAGACTTTCTCCAGTGCGTCCATGCTTGATTAACTGTTGTGAGGACGACATTGGACAAGGATATGCAACTCCATAAACCTGATCCGCCCACAAGAACGGAGGAGGAGATCTCCTGGAAGTCTCCTCCTCCCGAGTGGGTCACTCTCAACTCAAACGGCTCAATTTTTCAGGTTACAGGCCTTGCTGCTGCGGGAGGCTTGATCCGAGATAATCTTGGACGCTGTTTTGCAACGTTCGCTTTGAACCTGGGTATGTGTTCGATTACCCAGGCAGAGTTGAGAGGCGCTGTTGAAGGTCTACAACTGGCTTGGGACATGGGCTATAGACGTGTCCTCATTGAGCTCGATTCGAGGTGTGCAGTTCAGTTAAGCCGGGATGTTGACAACCCGGATCATCAGCATGCAGCGGTCATCGACCGACTTCAGCTCCTTCTTCAGAGATACTGGGAGGTTGCAGCCTACCATGTGTACAGAGAGGGGAATAAGAATGCAAATTTCTTGCCTCTCGAGGCCATCAGTTGCCTGTTGGTTTTCATTTTGTACCTGTTAGGCTGTTACTGATCCTGATTTGAGGTTATGGCTCCTTTATGATACTTTAGGGATTCCCGAATCCCGGCTGGTTTTGAATGAAGGTTAGGGTGCTTCGTATCCATTTATAAAAAAAAATTGCATGGTTTTTTATGGGAATCTTTCGAATGAAATATACCGTTCAATTCTTTGTGAACGGCAACTAACTAATGACTTCAACTAGGTTTTGGGTTTGTTAAAATTGTGTAGGGTTTACGGATAAAAATTAATTCAATCTATCCAGTTCGGTTAAACCCAAAACCGGACTAAATCCCACACATTTTACGAATCAAAGAGCATGGTTGTCATGTTGGTGACATGGCGCTCGGTTGAATCTGGTTCAACCATTGTTGGTTATGAAACTAGAATAAATATCATTGATATGACTAGCATGATCGATTTACGAACTCTAAGTAAAATGACTTCGTTTGAGTAAATTTTATTGATAAAAATAAATTTATTATATAAAAAGTTAAAAGTTGAAGTAATTTGTTGATTCATGTATAAACATTTAGATATTGATGTTAAATATTGTATTTAAATATGAATATTTGTTATTTTATTTGAATCTTGTATTTTATTAAGCCGAAATGAATTGACACAAACCGATTACAATACTCATGAATCATGATACAATTTTACTTATCAAACCAACACAATATAAATCGGTTTGACAAGTGTACTTCAGTACTTGTATTGCAGAATGTTGCAAACATCTCGGCGAAGGGCAAAAAGGCCACACCGGCGGAAGGTTAAAAAATATGTCCCCTAACTCCTAAGGCCGGTCAAAAAAAAAAAAAAAAACTCCTAAGGCCGGTCGGCAACTGTAACTTCCCAGTCATTCTCTCCCCTGCGAAATCCCCATCTCTCTAACTCAACATCCATCGATGGCGAAACCCGACGAGTTTAAGCCGGACTCGCCGTCGGAAAACCCTAAAACTGAAGTCGACGACGAGAATGGTGACGACGGATATGAAGAAGAAGAGGAAGAAGAAACAGAAGAGCACGAGCTCGACGAGGAAGAAGACGACGAACCCGAACCCCAACTGCGTGGGCGGATTCCTCAATCAGCTGTTCGAATGCAACAGGCGAAGCTGCAGGGCCTCTTCCAGCGGTTGCAGACGCAGACCGTGCCACTTCGAGTCCACGATGTGCTGATTAAGGGGAACACGAAGACTAAGGATTACCTGATCGAATCGGAAGCGGCGCTGTTTAAGAACTGCACTACTATGCAGCAGATTCTCGAGGTCTCCAGAGCTGTGAATTTCCGGCTGCAAGCACTGGAGATATTCGATTCGGTCAAGATCACGCTCGATTCTGGCCCTCCGGAGCTCCCTGGGACGTCGAACGTCATCGTGGAGGTTCAGGAGGCTAAAAGCCCTCTTTCTGGTGAGATTGGGGCTTATACGAAGGCCGAGGTATTGTCTGTTACAAATTGTGTTTTTCATATTTATATGTGCTGGTTTAATTGATTGAGGAATTGAATAAGGAAACTCGGTGTCATATGGCATTGCCTCTCTCTGTACAGATTAGTGTGAAGGGTTCCTTTTGAAAAACAAGTTTTCTGAACTTGCTGAGATTGATATAACTCGATGAACTGCGGCTAAGAGCGATACAGGGAAGTTAGGATTAGTATTCATAGGTGAATTTGATAGTTATGGAATGTGGATTGAAAAATGTGAGATTCCAGCTTAGGACAACCGGAATGAAGGAGAGAAGAATGAATTCGTGATCCTTGCAAATTAGCTGATGCTTGATATTGATTGTCCTTGCTCTCACATCTTCATACGATTTGTACTGGTGTTAAGGATAAGATGGAATGCTAGTTTGTGATTCGTGAAACGTGTCAAAGGACTTAACTTACCAGACCATCACCCTCGCTTCTGATGATTCAATACACATGGTTCTGTAGTTGCCTTACTACAGTTGCGAGTACCTTTGAGAAAGTCATCACGTGTATCAGGTACAGCTGCTCATAGGGCTGCCCATTTTGTGGCATAACAGGCCCTTTCATCGGAAGTTCGATTATTTGTCGACTACTGCACGGTGTTATTTTCTGTTCTTTGACTCTGTATTGGTTAGGGATTTGCCTGACTACTGTCTATGTTAAAACAAAAAAAAGTTGTTCATTCAGATTGTTGGATTTGATGTAAACCATAAATGATGAATGATGCCTGCTTCTTGGGTTTGCAATCCTTCCACTTGCACTGAACTAATTTTTTGTCAATTCTATCTCGATTTTGTACCGACTTTTCAGGCAAGATCTTCGACTGTTGAAGGAACACTAAAGTTCAAAAACATATTTGGTCATGGGGATCTTTGGGATGGCTCTTTTGCTTATGGTTGGGACAATTTGGCAGAGCTAAGTGCTGGTGTGCATTTCCCAAGATTCAGAGGAGCTTCATTTCCACTGGATGTCCGTGCATTCCTGCTATCCCAAGACTGGCTGCAGTTCTCTTCATTCAAAGAGAGGTCAATGGGCCTTTCTGTGGCCTTGCTCTCCTCTACGAACCATGACTTGGTCTACAATCTCGGATGGCGTACCTTGACAGATCCCTCACAGTTGGCATCCAGGTCAGTGAGGATGCAGCTTGGTCACAGTTTACTCTCATCTTTGAAATATACTTTCAAGGTTGACAGGAGAAATTCACCTTTGCGACCAGTTCGAGGATATGCTTTTGCTGCTACCTCCCAAATTGCTGGCCTTGCACCGGATAGTCGGTGCTCACGTTTCCTACGTCAGGTGCATGATTCCCTTTCAACTATGAACTGTGACTGCCTTATTAATTATGTACGCTGTAACTTGTGTGAATCCATAGTTTCTTTCTTAGCTGTTTCTTTCTGGAGTTTTGTTGCACAAACTACATTCCTTGAGCCACAGATTGCTGTGATTAATCCTTATCTCACTGGAGTTTATATTTCTGAGTTTGCAAGAGTTGCTCTTTTCTTCCTTCCCGGCAGTATAACACTTCCTTTGTGGTTGCTTTTTCTTATCTGCTACTGTATAATAGTTGGATTCGTGGTGCGTCTCTTGTTTTTTCTTTGAGAGTGTGCATCTCTTGTCAATAATGAGTGGGTGTTTTCCCCTAGTCAATTAGTCAGTATTTTCCATGTGAGTTATTTGTTATCTAATGGTGAAATGGTTGTTCAGAAACGAGTTTATTTTATTTGCGTATATAATTTGGATTATCAGTTATTTCATCCAAAAACTTTTGGCCACTCTGCTTGCTGCATGAGTTGATGGCTAGTCTATACGATGATTCATACTCCTGCTTAGCTGTGATGCCTCGGGATCATCTTTAATAACTCAAAATGTACTTCATACAGGAGGTTGATCTTCGTTATGCCATCCCGCTTGGAATTCTGAATTCTGCTCTCAACTTAGGGATCTCTGGCGGCATTGTCTTCCCGTGGGGAACTGGTTTCAAAACCTTGCCATCACCTCTTCCTGATAGGTTCTTCTTAGGTGGTAATTCATCTCCAATTAGCAGTCTGGGGGGCCCAACAACAGTGTGGGGATATCGAACCAGGGGACTTGACCCTACAGAGCCTCGAAGGCAACTGAAAAGCAATGGTGGCGATGAGGATGCTGCTGATCCCGGGGTCGATTTTCTTGGCGGAGATCTTGCTGTTACTGCTTTTGCTGATCTTTCTCTCGACTTCCCACTGAGATGGTTCAGAGACAGAGGAATCCATGGCCACATATTTGCATCCGCTGGAAGTCTCGAGAGATTAACACAAAACGCATACAAAGATTTCTCCTTGCAGAAGTTTGTGTCTTCATTCCGAACCTCCGTTGGTGCTGGGATTGTTGTTCCAATCCAGCCATTCCGCCTTGAGGTCAGTGCCCTGAATTCCAATTAGGAGATGTTGGAATGTTGTTTTAATGAGTAGTACCATGAGAAACTCTAGCAATCAGACTTCGTGCAGTTACTTCACTAACATGCATTTGATTTTGTTGCAGCTGAACTACTATTACATGTTGAAGAAATTCGAACACGATCGTGGGAAGCCGAGATTTGGGGTGACCTTCTCTATGTAGTATTTGGGAAGTATAAAAATTTGTTGGATTTGTGTTTGGAATTCGGCAACTAGAATCCCAGACTGCCTGAAAAGCTTCATTGCGGTTCATTTCAAATGTAACGTTGAACACAACCTTGTGGTAAGTCCACAGCCTAGCAGTTCTTTCTTGGTTTCCTTCTCCTCACAACAGTGACGGGAATAACCTAATTTTTTTAGGATCCTGATTTCTTTTTGTTTTAGTAGGATTCATTTCACAGAAGCATCTGAAATAGATGGTCTATTTTTGTTTCAAAACAAGCACGTACATTTTGACCTCTAATGAAAATGTCGTGGTCGAGATCTTTTTATCGTCGACTAAATGTGCAGCATAGCTTGGCTTTAAAACTTGCAGATGGTGATCAAATGGAAAAGATTGCAGCATATCTATTTGTTCTTTGGTTCCTAGCTTTGCTTCTTGATTGTTGGGTGCTGTAAGTGGATCATACCTGAATCCAGGGAAAGACTGATTCTCGTCTAGTTAATGTTTATGTTTGTTCCTTTCTTGACCATTGTGGTCCAAACGGAACAACGATGGTGTTTGCTTACCATTAGCCCATTTCCAGGTCTGGAGACAAAACTGGAAGGGCTAGAGTAGAGAGAAGAGAAACCCGCCAATCACTGCAATCCTCGACGGGCCGGGCGTGTACTAATGAGTGGGCCGGATGGTGTCTCTTTTCATTGTCATTGGACCCCCATAGAGTGTCTAACGGATTCATCTACGACTCTGTACAGCGCCCGACCCACATTCATACAACCCAGCTAGCCCATCCATGGAAAGAAGTAATAATGATCGATGAAAACCCTCTCCACATAATATAACTACCTTGTACCTTGGCTGTAATATATAAAATTATTTTTTGATAAGTTAACAGAAATATACATTTGTGTCAGATGTATTTAATTAATAAGTAAATATTATTTCATCTCCCATCTTGTGATTCCTATACTCATACTACTATATCTAGAGGATATTGTAATAAATATTACTACAAAACAAAGATCAAGATCAAGTTATTTGGTAGAATCTCATATAAGGTAAATTCATTAGAATATCTATGGACTATTCACATATTTCACATTTATAGTAAACATATATCCAAACTATCAACTATGTATGAACTATTGGGTGACCACTTCTATTATTGAGTGGCACTAAATATAGATGATAGATTAAAAACAGAAACACCCATTAGGAAGATCAAAAGAATCGTATAGCTAACTTTAAAGAAGAAATAACTCCCATAGAAAATATATAAATGGAAGCTCTCATCCATAGATTTGCGCATTTAGGGTAGAAAATTGTGGGTAATTACTGAAGAGGAATTTTTTTGTGGGCATTCATAAAAGAAAATTTGTGGACGCAGGTTATTTATTGGGCTAGTCGGGCCTGCCCATATTCATATTTATTTCAAAAATATTTACACTACTACAGTGCTGCCCGGGCTTCATAAGTGGCCCAAAAAAACCCACTAGTAGTTGGGCGGGAAACCAAATAATTTATAGGCTTAGATGGACTAAAATACCCCTCCTTCAAATTAAGGAGAGGCCAGGAATTTTTGAATGGTGAAAATCCTGTAAAACTCCACTATCTTATATTCTTTTGATTTGACTTTTGATACACTGAAAGGAAAAACGGGAGTCCCATTTCAAAATTCCTGCCTCCAGAACGTTTCTCAGAGGGGTACTTACGGAAACAGAAAATTGCACTGGACTCTTATGGAGACGTTGAACGGGCCCACTGATTATTTAGGCCTAGGAATGGAAAAACAGTTCCAGGCGTGTGAAGAAACCCCAACTGATAAAATTGGGCGTCATTCACTTTGCTTGTTGCCGTCTCTGTTTTCTTGGTTTCAGTTTCCGGCTTGGGATAGCTGTCCTGCAACCGACGACGGAGGCGCGAGCAGTTTCCCTTTCCCCGTCATTCGTATAGCCTGTGTTGTTGCCGTGTCAGAGGGTCGAGGAGCTTTTTGGGTTTCCGTTTTTGGCTTGGGATAGCAATCCTGCAACCGACGACGGAGGCTCCCTTTCCCCGCCGTTCGTATAGCCTGTGTTGTCACCGTGTCGGTTGGTCGAGGAGGTTTCTATTTCCTTTAGTGGGCCGGGGAGCTGGAATACGTCGCTTGATTAGCTTTGGTGTCGTTAATCATCCTCAACCACTCTTCTAGGGTCGTAGATTTATCCATTATATAATTCGAAGCCAGATTGAGTCATCTGCCTCTTCAATTAGCAACTTAATGTTTTTGAGTTTCTGTTACCTTTTATCTTTAAAGCATCGTGTGGGTTTAAATTTTAATGTCTTTACATTTAACATGTGCTTGAAGCTCACAATTTGATCAATCATATTTGTGGGAGCGTTACAGATTGGGGTCGTGGTTGGAAAATCTTGCGGGAGCTTGTTACTTCGTTTTGGGTGGCCGGTGAACTGGAGAAGGAGAATGAGCATTAAGATGATACGGAGATGGTTAATCAGAACTCCGGATGCGAGCATAGCCTCGATGAGGTACTTCCATTTCTTCATTCTACCCCACCAACGATTCATGTGCTGTCTGTTATCTTAGGCCGAGTTCGTCGACTATTCATTTGATTCCTTTTTGCCGTTTCGGTATAATTATGGCTTGGGTTAGAGTCTAGATAGTGACATGTTGTGACTGAGAATCTATAATTTGTTGCGATGGTGAAAGTTTCACTCTTGGTATTGACCACTTGACGATTATGGTAATGAAATTGGGTGTTGGAGAGACCAATTTAGCTTCAAAGTAATACATGTGCTACCCATGCAAATGGGTTTTGGAGCTGCTGCTGTGATAGTAGCTTTTAATGGTGAACAAGAAACTAAAGCTCTTTGGAGTTCATTCATTGCGCCAAAGCTGAAACATAGGAACTGGCTTCTAATATCCCGTTCAAAGATGTGGGAGACATATTTTGAATGGTTGGTTTAGTTACAGGGGATACTTGAGATGTAAATACACGAGGTCCTGTAATATGTTATCCATATCTCAACTATGATCTTAGGCAATAGCTATTATGGATGTACCCTACATGTTTATTGCTTATTACTTAGCAATTGTGCCACCTTCCTGATTCTGTTCCATTAAATTGTTGAGTTCAAGCCCTTTTTTTAATGAACTGCACAAGCCTTCTTATTTGCTCTATTTAGTAGATTGCTTATATTAAGTTAGGCTTGGGTGCTAGCTTTACAAAATGATTTTGCGCTGGCTGCAGGTTCTTGGTGTGCAAAAGACAACATCTCAGCAAGAGATAAAGAAAGCATACCATAAATTGCTTTCAGACTTCATCCAGACAAAACCCAGGTGATGAGGTGATTAACCGAGAAACACTGCATATTACTTTCCATCATGTTTGTTTGACAGTACTACCATGTTTCTTCTTACATGAGGCAAAAGTGAAGTTGCAGCTACTACATAAGGTGATATAAATCCTTAAGGATGAGGTAAAAACATGCACTTTATGATAAACCATGTTGCTTTGATGATGCAATAAGTACTTAGAACTAACAGCTAGGTGAATTAGTTGATGCAGTAAGTTAGGATTGGGTACATCAGAGAAACCATGATCCTTGCTGCCTAATTTCTTTGCTCATATACCATTTTCTCACTACATACTAAGCGTTATTTGCTTCAGTTAAGTGAAGCTAAACTGTAATTCACGAGGTTCAACCATGTTTTGTGGTTGTTGGATATGAGATGATTAAATCTCCTGTGATTCTAGGCATCAAATCAATTTTGGCAATAATTCACATTATATAAGATTTTACTTCTATAGCTATTGTAGAGTCCATACAATTTTTATTTGAATTTTATTCATGAGAGTTTTGGTTCTCTGCTCCTTAAGCATATTAACTTGGATGTTATGAACCAACTATTTAGGAAAACTAATTTTGAAGAGAGCTAGCTAGAAGCAAGAACTAAATGTACCTGCTTCGACTAATATATTGATTTCTTAATCATTTTCTCTGTTAAGTTACGAACTATATAGCTACATTTAGTTGCTATCAGCTACTACTGTTATGCTTAGTTATTGGTAAGATGTAACTACACTTAGGAACTGTTAACATTTTCTAGATTAATTACTCATTCACTTGTGCAATTATAGTGACAATGGGTTTGACAATGTTATTTCTTAAACTTAGGGGGATGGTTAGGGTGTTATATTAACTCTAACTTTGAAGGTCAAATGTAACAATGTATATTTGAAGCAACAATAGAGCATTATAGATTCATTTTTCTATTCGATTAGTACAAATGGTTACATTGCCTCCATTACTTCCAATCCTATTTATTTCACCATGACAATGTAGGATCTAGAACAAGAGAAGATAGGTGATGTGGTTTCTCTCTACATTTTTTGCCAATGCTCTCGATCCCTCTTTCTTAGTGATTTCGTGGCAAAGGAATGTTCTGGACAAGGATTATGGGAAATATAATTTATTCTTGGAAGAGATACGTGAATTGAATCATGATGTCGCTTTCTTTCACAAATTATGGACTGTTTAAAGTGTAAATGCACATGAGATTGATTATCCAAGGAATCAAAAGTACGAGTTGTTGTTATTGCTTTGTTAAGCTATGCTAATTATTTGGGTGGTAAGTGCGGTAAGCATGACACCCAACATTTTGCTGCTGTCATTTTCATGATTTGTTCTGCTCTTAGAACCTACAAAAGGAAGTATCGATGTTGTAATTGCAAGTCAATAAGGCATTAGTATTTATGGTGGGGTAAAACAAAGGGAAGAAGAACATGTCGATTGGAAGATGATGGTGATGGTGGAGTGTCGATTGAAAAGAAAGGGTACCATGTTTGTTCACTGAATCGTGATAAATGATAAATAGTTTTACTGGATTTAAGAATTTTTGTAGATTTTGATTAAAGTTACGATGACAGAGGTAGAGAGAAGTTTTTGATTGGAAGAAGGAGAATACATTAGGCGAGTTACACGGGTTTAATAAGGAAGTTCTATGATATAAGTCATCTACACATAACACTAAGCTACAATGATGTAAAAAATTATGGAACGACGGTTCCTATTCCAAATCATGTTGTTCGTTCTTGATTTCTTTAGATTTTATCATGACTTGGCAAAAACCAGAAAGTACAATGATGACAAGATGAAAATTTTATAATTAAAGAAAATTAATCGGCCAATGGGCCGAGTAAGAGCTAGCAACGATTGTGAGATGCTCATTTCACGAAGAGCGGCGGGATAGACGATTTTTTGGAATTCGGTTTCTATAAAACTTACTCTACCTCATCATATTACCAGAAATAATACTGTTTTACAAGGCAACAGGTACTCGAACTTGGTTCATAAGACTGATTTTTGATTCGTTGCATCTTCCATGCCTCTTTCCTGCTAAAATTCACTATTTTTATCATGTGTTTCTAAAAAAAATATACAACAATAAACTATACACCCCATTATATTCTCAAATATCATTCCTCACCTTCCTCCGGCCAACTGGCCGGGGCAACACTAGTAACTAGCTATAATGAATTAATACCTATGTTTTCTTTCAGATGTGCGTTTTTTCTTAATAATGTTTCCACGTGTGTTAATTTGCTAACTGTTGTGAGTTAGAGAGGGATCATTATCAATGTGGCGAGTCAGTATACATGGATAAATAAAACCGAAAGTCAATAACGGTCGGACCCTTTGACGAGTTCATCACGTAAAGACGAGAGGGATACAGCTCTCTAATTTGTATTTTTTTTTATCAGAATAAACAAGAAGATGAGTTAGAGTGATTTATGGCAGGGTTAGTATCATGCTAACTTCTTTAATTTTTAATTATCATCGAGTATTATTTTAAAATTGAATCTAAAGTTAGAGAGTTGTGAAGGATTTATTTGCTATTTTAGAAAATTAAAATTCATAATTTCTCCTATCTCTAAAGGAACAAGTAACAATATGGTTAACTCTTACTTACTAGCTATGTACGCGGTATAGGATTTCCATTGTGTGGGTGTATTGTCTTAGATAGCCACAAGATCCCCATTGTGAGGGTGTTTTGTCTCAAATAAGCATATGATGTCAGTTCATACCTCAGATTAGGATTGATCCAACGCTCGCACTCAGGAATTGTAAAAGCACTAGAAGTACGTTCAGTAATTCAACAGCTCGTGACAAGGATCAATGATTCCACAAGAGTTGAGAGGAAGAAGATGTTTAACTTATAATTTATTTGGCCGGCCTATGTGTTATTTTCCCTTCTTCTTTTTCTTGGTTGTTGTGGTCTAATTTAAATCGATAGTGGATGGCGAAAGCCCCCCTCTCCCTCTGGTCGTTGTTTGAATAAAAATTAAAAATGCATTTCAGTTTTCCTTACAAAATGTAAAAAGAAAAGTGACTAATTGACTACCTCCTCCAGTCCTTTTTTGTAAACCTTCGGGATTAGGTGGAGAGTGAGACACAAAACTAAATAATGACCATGACCAAACTAAGTAATTAAAAACTAAATAATGACCAGAGACTATATCAACACACGGTGTGGTCTTATCTCTTATGGTTGATGATATATATGTGTGTTTGTTAGTCTCTTTTTTAAACGCTATTGGATCGTTTCATTAAAATAAAAAACAACATTTCCTAGTACGTTCTTCCGATCTTTATCTATTTATTTCCATCCTCCCTTCCTCCATAGCATAACAATAAATTTTGTGTCAAATTTGAAAAATAGAGTAGGTGGTAAGAATTTAGTCCCTCCTTACTATTCAAACTTAGCCCCTCCTCATTCAGATTTCCGGCTCCGCCAATGACGGCGATGGAGTCCACAGCAGTAGCAAGTTGTTGTTCTTCTCCTCCGTACACGGGGCGGTGGGATTACCACGTGTTCGTGTGCTTCAGAGGGGATGACGTTCGGGATAATTTTATGAGCCACCTTGAGAAACATCTGTCTAAAATGAATATCAAAACCTTCGTCGACACCCAGCTCAAAGTAACCCAGGACATCGACAAGCTCCTCTCCATCCTCAGAGGAACAGCGGTTTCGGTGGTGATCTTCTCCAAAAACTTCGCCAATTCGTCCTGGTGCCTTGAAGAAGTGGCCACCATTGCCGAAATCACTCAAAAATTCGGGCACAAAACGCTGCCGGTTTTCTTCCGGGTGGATTGGACCACCGTGGCCGGGGACGACGATCATTCGCCGGCGCCTAATGAAGAAAACATCAGGTGCTTACTTGGTAACCAAAATGATATCAGCTTCTGAATGAATTCAACGTTTCAGACTGGATTGGATGATGTGTTCTTTGATATTTTTTTCCCCCTCTTAAATTTCTCTCATTGAGTTTCTTGGAAAGAATTGAAATCTAAATCAATTCGTTTGTTTGGGAATTGGATTTCTAATGCTAAATCATTTGTTTGGATATAATTACATATATAGTATTTGGATTTGCACCGATTTTATGTGGTGATTTTCAAATATATGTCTGGTATGTTATCGGTGAATTTCAAATATATATCAACAAATAGTGATTTGAAATTCCTTATACCAAACAAACTGAACTCGTTTATAAAATTTTAAAAGTTCAATTACTATAAGCCATAAAAAGTGAAGGCACTAAAATGAATTTTGCCACCATAAATTTTGGACCTCTTTGATTTAAATATCAAAGTTTAGGTTCTAAATCGGTAAGAAAAAATAAGTTTGGATACTAAATTGTAATTTTTCAAAATTGTAGTATCTGACTGAAAATTCAAAATTGATATTAAATGTCATAAAACCTGAAATATCAATGAACAAATGAGCATCCAAACAATGAATTTGAATGTGTTTGGATAGAAGGATTTAGATTTGGTATTTGTTATTTGGGTGTCTAAATGTCAAATCATTTGTTTGGATATTAATTACATTTGGTAAATGGATTTGTGCCAAATTAATGGGGTGATTTCTCAATACATGGCTAGTGTATTACTTGTCAACTTTAAATACATTCAACAACTCGTGATTCGAAATTCCTCATAATAAAAGATTGGACATGTTTGTAAAATTTTAAAAGTTTATATACTATAGTGTGAAGCAAAACATACACAGGTACCAAAATATAATTACACCACCAAAATTTATAGATCTTTTTGTAAAATTTTAAAATTTTAGGTATTAAAATTTTGATAAAAAATTAATTTGGGTATCCAAACGTAATGTACCAAAATATGAAGTACGCGACCAGAAAATTCAAAATTAAAATCTAAAAAACAATCGAATTGCAAATGAGTATCCAAAACACGAATTTAAATTATATGTATTTCAAATACATTACATTTGAAATATGCTTATTCAAACGCATCCTTTCATGAATTTCAAATGTGTATATTTAAAATACTTACATTTGAAATACACGTACAGAAACACATTCTAAAAGAAGTGATGGTGATTTCTTTTTTCAATGTTTGTTGGCTTCAAAGTTCCAAGCTATGGCGTGGTGATTTGTCAATTAATAAAGTGTGGACTGTTATCTGGCACAGATACGCTAAAACAATTGCTGGTCTCTCATTCGCCCAACAACGTAAGGATGAATGGAGGAAGGCTTTGACGGTAGTAGCTAGTAAGACCGGGCGTACCACTCAGGAGATACGGTGAGTACTATTTATTTTCTTAATTTGGTTACTGTTACATGGCATAACAGGTTTTACATGTCTAAACTATTGGGTTGGTTAATTTTACGTAGAGCTGTCAAATTGAACCCGACCCGACTAACCCGACCCACAATCCGTTTGTAACTCGATTTGACAAAAAATCAACCACCCGAAGCCTACCCGTAACTCGAAACCAATTGACCCGTAATCCGATCAACCCATAACTCGATGAACTCGTTATCCGATCCAACCCATAACCCGATCCATCTATAACCCGAATGATTCATAACCCAAATAACCCATAACCGAACCGAACCCAACTCGAATAACCCGAATAACCCATTTGACCCGAATGCTTGTACAAAAATTCAATGTATACATTATTATATTTTAATTTTATCAAGAAAGAACTGTTGTTCTCGTAATAATTGAAAATTATTTGTAGAATTGATGGTACAAATTGAGGTTTTTTCTTAAATATTTAATTTTTAAAATAATAATTGGGAAATATCTTTTCATTCATTTTTTATTTTATGAAATTCAAAGGATAAATTTTTGAATATAATAGGAAGAGTTAGACACAAATTCGTATCTCCCCCACCCATAACTATATTAAAAAAATCAACCCTTGAAAATCAATGGAATCCCCAAAATCATTGAAATCAATGATCCCTATCAAGAATTCAAGATATATAAGTGGATAGTTTACCCTTTTTACTTCATTCTCAGCTTTTTACTAATTTTATTTATTTTTTATAAATTAATAAATCGACGATGCAAACTAGATGATAATATCATATTTGAGCGAACCGTTGTTCGAACCATGAGTTTTAGGATGAGATGTTACCGTGAAAATATAAAAAATTGTGAAGATATATAAGTGGGTGATTCTGAATGATGTTCATAAGTCTTCGTGGAAATGAAGAGACATACATCTAGTTCATACTATATTTAATTAAGACGATTCATTTCGAGATGTATAAGCATATAGTCTACTTTTTTCCTTCATTCTCAAATTTTTACTGATTCAATTTTTTTTATAAATTAATAAAATAAGTGAAGTTACAATCTCTCACTATAAAAAAAATGTATAACCAACAACAAAGCTTTTATATACACTATTTTATTTTATTTATTTTTATACTAATATAATGGATATTTAATTTTTATGTGTAAATATTATCATATTATCATTTTCTTAAATTTTGTATCATTACCTACAATTTATATTTATATATTGATAGTTTGTAAAACATTATTTTCTGTCAAGAAGTAAATGATCCAATGGGTTGACCCGAATAACCCATAATCCGACCTGACCGAACACGAATTAACCCGCAATCCAATAAACCAGTAATTTGATGCACCCGTAACCCGATCCGATCCGTAACCCAATTAACCAATGACCTATTGACTCGTAACCCAATTGACCTGCAACCCAATTAAACCCTATCCAAATTGAAACCGACCCGATTGAACTTGCAACCCGATTGAACCCAACCCAGTTAGACCCAATCTGAATTCGACCCAACCCGCCCAATTGACACCTCTAATTTTACGTAATAGTTGTAGAGTATTATTACTTAAATCTTACATAATAAAAGATTTTTTTTTGCATAATGAATATTAACTTTTATTACTTAAGAAGCAAAGCTGATGAACCCCAAATTAAAAGGCTTCGATTTGACGAAAATAACCCCAACAGGGGTCGACTGACTCGCACTGATCACCAATTCATGCCGTTCAAACCCCATGGACGAATTAAACTTAGTGAAACCCTATCGAGAGCTCAATGGAAGCTCGTTGGGAGCTTAGCGAAATCTTATCGGAAGCTCAATGAGACCTCACAAGGTGCTCAGTTGGACCTCAGGGTTGTTCAACTCAACAGGACCTTAAAACTAGCTCACCGTTAGCTCAACGAGAGCTTAGTGAGACATCACTGAGAACTTAATGTGACCTCACTGGGAGCTAGCCGGTCCTCACTGCGCACTCAGCGGGACCTCACCGTCCCCAGAAGCTCAACGTGAGCTCAGTGGGCGTACAATAGGAGCTCACCCCCAAATAACTTGAGCCTCGAAGGGTGTCCCTAACGACATTGTTCATAGGATCTTTTTGCAAGCATTCTCTCAGGAGTAGTTTGCTTCTAGAGGTTACGTACAATAAACTCAATGGCCAACTAGAAAAAAATGAAATCGTTTAGAAATCATACATAAACAATTGGCACCTACCATGGAATCCTAGAATCAAATGTTAAAGAAGCCTTGTTCGATGTCTCTACCATGATGGTTGTCAGAAGCTCGAGAACTAGTGAGAGCAAGGATACCTGACACCAATATCATAGTAATTGATACGAGTGACTAAAGGGTTTCAATCATTCACAAGATCCAAACCTTTTTACAAGCGATTGTTCGGAAATTCGCACCATGAAACCGATCGATCGGAAATTCGCACCATGAAACCGATCGATCGAAAACCCATCGGAGAGCAGTAAAAAAACTAATGTCTCTGAGTCAGCAACAAAAGGGAAAAAATAGAGCAAGAGGAAAACCACTAACATGACCACAAATTCGAACTTACGAACTCAACAAGGTAAGTTATCGAGGAGAAGTACTTATTATTGGGCTCCCGAAGGAACGAGCTTGCTGCGATAGAGCTTGCCAAAGATGTGGAGAGCGGTGACGAAGCCGATGAAGCAGAGGCTGAGCACGAGGACAGCAGTGGGGGAGATATTGATCCCGGGAGCATCGTCGGTGTAGAATCGGAGCATGTTCCCGTTGGAACTTCCTACGCTGCCGTCCGAGGAAGAAGAACAGACGATGAAGGTCCCCCGAGTTGGTGTCGCGCATCCCGGCGGTGGCAGCAGCAGAGCCCCAAGGAGCTGTGACCGCGGGGCGGGTGGCGCCGCCGGGTGAGGTGGATGATTGAGACTTAGAAGAACCTCTCGCCATCTGTATCAATTATAATATTTTTTAGTTTTATGGTAAAAATGAGTTGAACATTAAAATATATTAAATTTTATTTTATTTACTATTTCTTAATTGCCACGTCACTAAGTTAACGGTCAACTTTGAGAGTTGATTGTTAGGTCAGCTAAAGTTAGCGAAGTTGGACGGAGAGTGACCAAACGTGAACGGTTTCAGTAAACTGAAGTACTACTAATGGATTTAAATATTTCGAGTGACGAAACTTGAACTTTTTTTGTAATCTCAGTGACCTACCATGCAATTAACCCCATAATTTAATATTAAGACCAAGTTAGTTGAGTGGGGTATTTTCTAAAAGTGTTAGTTGAGTGGGGAATTTTTTTGCTTCACTTTCTCATTTGGTCATTTATCCTTGCCTTTTTTTTTTTAATTTTGTGTTGTGCATTAATTATCAGAAACGAGGCTAAATTGGTTGATGAGGTTGTGGCAGGAGTCCTTACGACTCTAGTAGCCATGTCACCTACCAGGCAGTTCAATAACTATTTGGTTGGTATGAATTCACGGGTTGCGGAGGTCGTGCAACGGTTAGTCATGAAGGAAATGGATACCGTTCGCATTGTAGGGCTTTGCGGAATGGGCGGTGTAGGGAAAACAACTGTTGCTCAAGCTTGCTACGACAACTTGAGAGATTCTGCAGACGAAAAAGCCAACACCAAGTTCCATTTTGTTAACAGGGTCGGACAAAATGGTGTTAATGATCAAGACAGGGTTGAAGGGTTAGTGAGAGAACTCTATTCAAAATTGTTGTCCGAGGATTCTCTCAGTCGTGAGGACTTGAATATAGAACATCGAAGGGGCCGCCTTCTCAAGACAAGGGTGTTGGTTGTTCTTGACGATGTGCACACTCCTTCACAATTAGATGAGTTGCTTTTACAGGACGCATCGGACCCCAGAAAGTTGTTTGCTCCAGGGAGCAGAATCATCGTGACCACTAGAAATCGAAAGGTGCTTGAGCATGTTAAGGCAGAAATACACAGTGTTGGTCCACTTGATGTCAATGAATCTCTTCAACTTTTCAAACTGCATGCTTTTTCACTAGGCTCTCCTGTTGTTGATGATGATGACGACGGTGGTCGAAATGATGATTTGTCACACAAGGTTTTATCATACTGCAACGGCAACCCGTTGGCGCTTAGAGTTTTAGGGGGTGCATTGTCATATAAAGACAGCAAGTATTGGGAGAGTTTCGTTCTCAAACTGGGCAAAACTCAAGAAGCAGAAATTCATCATGTCCTTCGGACAAGCTATGAAGAGTTGAGAGATGTTAAGGATAGAAGATTGTTTCTCGATATCGCTTGTTTCTTCTCTGGGCACTGGAGATCTTTATTGGTCAAGTATATGGAAACTGTTGATGAATCTGCATATAGTCGAGTAGAAGATCTAATTGGCAAGTCCTTTCTAGCCTCTGTGTTCGACCAGAGTGAGGGTGAGATACTTGTTGTGCATGATTTGTTAAAAGAGATGGCTTGGAACATCGTCAACGAGGAAGAAGATCTTGGAAGACGCAGCAGGCTGAACGATCCAGCTGACATTCACAACTTGCTGACCAATTGGAAGGTATTATAAGTTTTGGACCATGTGTTGGTTCTTTATAGTGTTGTAAATTGATTATGTATATGTTCTTTGCAATAATCCGTGAAAGTTAATGATATTCCAGGGGCATAGAGCAACAGAAGGGATCCGTTTAAACATTTCCAAAGTTAAAATGATGAGTCTGAAAGCCAATGCTTTTGAAGGGATGAACTCTCTTCGATGGCTTAACTTCTTCTTGCCGAAAGGCTTTGGAAGTCGGCATAGGAAAACCATTGTATCAGAAGGTATCCTTAACTCTCTTCCCAACGAGTTGAGGGGTCTACGATGGGATCAATTCCCGTCAGCTTCGCTACCGGGTGGATTTTCTCCCGACGAACTCGCCTACCTCGTTATAAGCCATTCTCCAATTGTGACATGTTGGGAACAGAATCAGGTATTTACATGATCTGAACACACACTTGTAAACCATAGGTAGTATATGTTTTGCAGTCTTTAATCTGTTGGTGTTTACTTTTATTGGCAGCCTAAACTTGAGAAATTGAGTATGCTAAGCCTCACTTCCTGTGAGAATCTAACTGTAATCCCAGACTTGCGGAACTCTGCAAATCTCGAGCACCTTGTACTCGAGAAGTGCAAATCTCTAGTGGAGGTACCTGACAGCATTCAATATCTTGTCAAGTTGGTAAGGCTGGAGGTTAGAGATTGTGAGAACATCGAGCGTGTCCCGGACAGGCTGAACTCGAAGTTGCTCAAGCACCTAATCCTGGCCAACTGTCCCAAGGTGACTGACACGCCAAAACACAACACCAAACTGCGACCAAGTGGAATCGCAGTCCGGGAATGCAGTAACAGGCAAGTTTAATTATCAACCCGGGGTCTAGATCTACTGCTTACTCCGTGATTGTCTATTATCTAGCAAACTAATTCGAGTGATTGTTGTTTAAAGCAAAAGCAGTAAGAAAGCAGGAAATGGTTCGGTTTTCAAAAGCAGGTAAGAGTCACTCGGGATTGAGTCCCCCTAGCCCCTTAGTTAGGTTCAATTGCAATTCCCTGGGTTGATTTACTGTTGATTAGACTGCGGAAGATCCGACAGTAGCTTGGAATCTCTTAAGCTGACCAAGCCCTCTCAGTCTAACTACCCGGCAGACGACTAGTCTTCACCGGGATAGAAAGCTGAGGCTATGAACACAGAACTCCACTACTGGCGTCAAGAACACCAGTACAAAGCAGTAAACTGGCTAACTCTCGTATAGCCAATCTCCTACTATCGAATGAAGAGGCTCTAACAACCTAATCAGATTCTATCTATCTCAGGTTGAAGCAGAAATTGAGAAAAGCTGATCAGACTCAAATCAATTCATGAAACATGCATCATTCGATTAAAATCAAACAATAATATCATCCCAAGTCATTACAATCAAATCCCTAACACAAGGAACTAGGGTTCTTCATACCCAAGTGAGAGAAAGGTTCTACTCCATAGAGAGAAAGGAAAACAGAAATCAGAGTAGTCATACTCATAAAGATGAGGAAAATCTGCTCTGGGATGTCAATCTTCACTCCTAAGGACGCAATCTGGGCTTCAATGATGAGAAATCCACTCCAAAATAGCTCCTAGGGTTTGTTCTTCGCTCTTTCTCTCTCTAAAACTCTGTTTTTGCCCAGAAAATCGAATTCCCACTCCTTGGCTCGAATCTGCCTTCAAAAACCCGACTCTGGGCGAATTACGGGCAGGATTACGGCCGTAATCACTTCCTGCCCGTAATTCACACCAAAACGCACGTTTCACTTAAGCTGCAGGAGGAGGAGTTACGCCCGTAATTTCCCAATTACCGCCAGTAATTTGGGAATTACGGCCGTAATTCTTGGGGTCTTGCCCGTAATTTTATCACCGCGAGGGAATTCTGGGTAGAAGGCTCGGCCAATAAATTACGGGCATGCCCTGGCCAATTACGGCCGTAATTTGGCAGGGGCTGCCCGTAATTCTGTCTCCGCTCCTGTTCAAAGCTTCGTTTCTCCCTCGTCCGGACTCCAAATCAGTTGCCATTTGAACCCAGACGCTCGTATTCTCGTCCTCTTTCTTTTCATGACAAGCTTGCATGATTCTTTGTCCATAAAGTGAGGTAGAAATCCATTCTTCTTCAGGTCATACCCGAGTTTCTTCTCCTGAATCGTCAATTGATCTCTGATTGACTTGAAACTTGCGCCTATGCTTCACTTTATGTGCTAGGACCTGAAATGTGACAAAGGAACACAACCTAGCGTAAAATAGGCCAAGGAACAATCAATTCGAGCCAAAATGGGCAGGAAACCAGAGTGAAAACACGTGCAAATACAATGCTATCAAATTCCCCCACACTTAACTGTTTGCTTGTCCCCAAGCAAACCAAGTACTACTCAAGGTAGCTCACATATTTCAATCAACCAACATTGGGGACAAGTCATAAAGGCACAGAACAAGTGAATCAAACTGGTTTTCAAACATCAACACATGAACAACTTTAATAGCAACCTGAACAACCACCACAAAGGACATTCGAGTGCAGCAGATCGAGCAACGGAAGAGTTTCCTTTCTGTTCACCAACCAACCCAGACTTGACTCGACCACTCACTCAAAACATTCAACTCATGCATCCAACTCAAGACATCAGAACAGAGACCGAGCAATCTAGGTCCTCACCGGGGTACAAGAGTATAGAGAATATGAAAATGAATCACTCACTCTCGACCAGTGGGGTCAGGACAATTTAATGCGAAAAATGCGCATGCTATTTCTCTCAATCCCTATCATCTCTTCACCATGACGGCAGCCTCTAAATGCTAGAGTTCACATATGGGGTGTCACCACTAACTAATCAGGAGGTCTTAGACACAGGTTCAAATGACTGGCTAGGGTCTTGGACATGGGGAAAAGGCCTTTTAGGTGGTGGAAGTATTCATAGCAAAAGGTTCCACATTTCCAAACCCACACAATCACAGTCAAACAAACCGGTACTCCCTTTCTGCTATTCTGCAATACTCAATATCTCAAGAGCACAAGAGCGAAGGAGGCATAAACATCAGCATTTCCAAGCCAGACTGCTAAGAAACACTACTTAATGGGCATTAATCAGATTTTTGGTAGTGGCTCTCTTTTGCTTTCAATTTTTTTCTTTGTTTTACTTTCATTTTTCTTTTCATTTCTCTGCACAAATTTCAAACACCTGCCCAACTTTTAAGCACTACCTCCAACACTCACATAGACTTTAGCAGAAACAGCAGAGAATATGTAAAAACCACTCTGTGGAACCTTCTAAAAGATGCAACAAGGGTGATTTTTTTCGTTATAGACCAAAAGAAAGGATAACACACGGCTCAAAGGGGCTGACTAGGGGATATGACACATCAAGACAGTCAGTTTTGGTCGTGGGCTAATCCTATGCCCCCATCATTTTAGCTAATGACAACGTGAATGCTACACATCATGGAAGAGGGATACGTGAATGCTACACATCATGGAAGAGGGATCTATCGCACAAGAAAGAAACGAGCAGGCTCAAATCTCACATGGCTACCTATATGCTCTATCTCACATTCTGATACCCTGAACTAGATGCATAAACGACTGTCAAGAACAAGTAATCAGATCAAGTCACAGTTGGTAAGCAAACAACTGAAAAACTGAACCCCTACATCGTTCTACTGCACATCTCAGTCCTCATTATAGGTTGTCCTAGTCGCAAACAAGTTGTCATGCATTAATCCGAAAACCGTTCAATTCATCAATCAAAACACAGTGCCAATATGATCAAACAGCAGTACTTGAAGCCCTCAAATCGTAAGATTCGGACAGCGGACTAGGCTCCAAGCACACAGACATATATTCCAACCGATACAAAGCACCCCCCCACACTTAAGCACGACATTGCCCTCAATGGAGTAGAGGGAAAGATAAGGGGAACGATGTTACCGGATTGAAACACTGCTGGGGGACTGGAAGTGGACCAGTCAGCGGGCTAGCATCAGCGAAACACACTGGGTGATAGAAACCATAGTTCCAAGTGGACAAACCGACAAAAACAAATGAAAGAAAAACAAACCTTGGTGGGGTTGCCTCCCCACAAGCGCTTCTTTACCGTCTTTTAGCTGGACGCCAGTATGGATGCTCAGAGAAGAGTAGGATCAGGTGCCTTCAAGAGCGGATCCACATCGCTCTTGAGGTACAGCTTCAAATGGTGGCCATGCACGCGACGAATGTGGCCACCAGCATTTGCCAGCTCGACTTGGCCATCCGGTAAGATGCAAGCGAGTGAATACTCGGATGGCCAAGGTGGGGGCGGGACCAGCTCATAGTGGTCTCCGGCTTTCTTTCGAGCAGGCTTAGCTGCCTGCAGTTTCGGCCGCCACTCCTCCTTGATATGTATTTTTGGTGATGGAGTGGTCAGGAGTGGCGGCGAAGGTGTGGGAGGCGGGTCCTGCAAAATAGGCAGCACAGAAGGATACACGACAGACTCGTGCTCCTGGTGAGATACAGCATGCAAAGGTAACGAAGCAGGTATAGTGTTAGAAACTGAAAACGTTATTCGCTCCTCGCCATCCCTCAAAACTAAGGTCCCATCATGCACATCTATGAGAGCCTTGGCGGTGGCTAGGAAAGGCCTTCCCAGTATAAGAGGCACTTCTGTGTCCTCATTGATGTCCAGGATAACAAAATCCACAGGATATGTGAATTTGCCAACCTTAACCAGAAGGTCTTCCACTATGCCCTTAGGATGGACTACAGATCTGTCAGCTAATTGAAGGGTCATCCTAGTAGCACGAGGTTCACCTAGGCCTAGTTTCTTGAACAGTTGATATGACATAACATTGATACTAGCACCTAAATCCGCCAAGGACTTCTCTACATGAAATTTATCAATAGAGCACGGGATAGTAAAACTACCTGGGTCCTTTTTCTTCTGCGGAAGCTTGTTCTGCAGAATAGCCGAGCATTCCTCGCTGAGCTCCACAGTGGCCAGCTCACTCAGCTTCTGCTTCTTTGAGAGAAGCTCTTTCAGAAACTTCGCATACTTCGGCATTTGCAATAGTGCCTCCAGGAAGGGCACTTGGACATTCAGCTTCTTAAGCATGGCCATGAAGTTCTCGAACTCTGTCTCCAGCCTGTCTTTGTGCAACCGAGTAGGGAAAGGGAGTTTAGGGACATACTCCTTCACTACTGGTTGCGGTTTAGGTGCAGGCACCTCAACCTCCTTCTCTACTTCTTGTTCCACCGCTGGAGATGCTGCAACAGGGCTTTCTCTCTCCGGTTCCCGAGCAGGGGGATCAACAGTCATCTTGCCACTCCTGGTCATGATGGCATTGCAGCGCTCATTCGGGGTCGGCGGGTGAGGAATGGTCTGCCCGGGTAGAGTACCAGGAGCCCATTGAGCCACTGCCTGGGCCACGCTCCCCAGCTGGGTCTGGATATCCTGCAAAACAGCCTGTGTGTTCCTCTGACCAGCTTCAAGAGCCAGGAGTTGACCCGAGGCCTTCTCCATGAACTGCTCAAAGGTGTTGAATTTCTGAGCACTAAAACTGGCGAGAGAACCCACCAAGTCCCGCAGTTCAGCCATCTGATCATTCTGCACTGGGGCAGCAGGGGCTGCACCTGGCTGCTGGAAAGGTCGCGGCTGTGATTGAGCAGCGTGCCCCTGCATGGGCTGATATGGTGGCCTCTGGAAGCCCGGTGGTCCCTGTGGAGCTGGTGGTCTGGGATTTGGCCCAGCCCAGGAGAAGTTAGGATGCTGGCGCCACCCCTCATTGTACGTGTTGCTGTAGGGGTCATTGCGCCTGACATTGTTGATGAAGTTCACCTGCTCCTGGGGTGTGGTTGATTCCTTCAT